TCAATGAAAATAAGTTTTGGTTTTGTTTCTTATTATGATTAAAAGACACTGACTGGCCCATTGGAAGACAAGTATACTTATTTTAAAAGGGGCTTTAATTTAGAATGAATACTCTGATAATATGCAAGGATGAAGACTAATGTCTACCTCTGAATAATACTTTTATAATAATTTTAGCAGAACAATTGTTTGTAATTCTATCCATAAAGTTATTTCTTAGAATAAGCTCTTGTCCCTTCCATTTTGAATAATACTGATGAAGAGTAACCTTCTGACAAGAAATACTGGTTATAATTCCCAAATAGTTTTGTAATTTAAGTACATTTCCTCTTGCAGCATGGTAATAATCATCACATTGAAGGACAGAGATTCTTAATTCAAATAGATACACGGTTTTAGTTAATTATAGACAAGATAAAAAACAATCTTTAGCTAATTTGCTAAAAGTTGGTCCTTGTTTCCAAGTTCATATTTATGTTTAAACTTGTAAATAATATAACTCAAATGATATTTTCTCAGGCCAAGAACTAGAACACGATATCCATTCTAGAAAAATTAGCTCCTTTAGAAATGTTATTACTGTTCACATTATTGATCCCATTCTGCTGTCAAGGCCAAAGTGTTTAGCAAGACTATTTCAGGGACCTAGACAGGACATTTTTATTGGTAATAAGACAACAGATTACCCTGAGTTCAAATGAGAAGACCCAGTGGCCAGGTCTATATCACTCTAACATTGTTCTGATGTGCAGCACAGATGGTGAGATATGTTGATGGATGAGGTCATCTCAGCAGCAGAGTTATCTTACTAGTCTCACCATATATTTCAGTTGATTGACCTACTAAACATGGCTGTCCCAAAGCAACTGGACATATTTATAACTATGGCTGTTAAATGGGACCCTCTAGGAAGTTCTGAATATAGGTTCCCCTCTCATAGCCTTGACTTCTAATTTCTTTTTTTCCCTTTCCTTTCCTTTTTTCTTTTACTTTTTCTTTTTTCTGAGAGAGAGAGAGAGAGAGAGAGAGAGAGAGAGAGAGAGAGAGAGAATGAATGAGAGCAAGCAGGAATGTGTGTGTGAGTAGTGGAGAGAGAGTGAGGGAGGAATCTTAAGCAGGCTCCACACCCAGCACACAGCCAGATGTGGGGCTCAGTCTCATGAGATCATGACCTGAGCTGAAATCAAGAGTCAGACACTAAACGGACTGAGCCACCAAGGTGCCCCTTGACTTCTAGTTTCTAAGAACCATATTAAGTTGGGCCTAAGTTGGGTAGGGGAAGGAAGGAGCATAAAGGAAGACTGGAAGAATATATGCAACAAAATAATCTCAAAGTATTAAGAGCACAGCATAGAGAATATAGTCAATGATATTGCAATAGCACTATATGGTGACAGATGGTAGGTATACCTCGAGTGAGCATAATGTAACCCACAGAAATACTAAATCACTAAGTTGTACACCTGAAACTAATGTAACATTGTATGTCAACTATAGGAGTTATAGGGTGATTGAATTTTGTAGAAAGGAGCATTAAAATAAAAATGCTATCTTAAATTTTAATGATCTAGGGTATTTTCTTTATATACTCAATATTTGTGAAGAACTGGGAGTTTGCTATCAGACAACTTCTTTGCTGTTTCTATTTTACAGGAGACAGTCTAGTAGAGAAAAGCACTGGATTAGGTCTACAGTAGTTGGGCTCTTATCTGACCTTAACCACATTTTCTAAACTTTTGGGGTATCAGTTTCCTCACTTGTAAAATGAGAGTGAGTAGATGTGCTAAATTCTCTCTTAAAACTATTATTTTTTTGCCTTTCTGCTCACTATCCTAGACTTCCACTCTTATGAATAGGAATGCCTAAAATTTACTGAAAAGTAACAGAACATAGTGCTGAATGCTCAGTCTCTAGAATTACACACTTATATTTGTTTTGAACACATATATCTATATGGCCTTCTAGTTTTCAATATAAATTGAATCTTAGGGGATCCATGGGTGGCTTGGTGGTTCAGCGCCTGCCTTTGGCCCAGGGCGTGATCCTGGAGTCCCGGGATCGAGTCCTGCGTCAGGCTCCCGGCATGGAGCCTGCTTCTCCCTCTGCCTGTGTCTCTGCCTCTCTCTCTCTCTCTCTCTCTCTCTCTCTCTCTGCCTCTCTCTCTCTCTCTCTCTCTCATGAATAAATAAATAAAATCTTTAAAATAAATAAATAAATTGAGTCTTAGAGTCCTTGTCTATAAAATGGAGATGATAATAGTACTCAACATGAAGTTGTTCTTTGATTTTTTTCATATCACTCGCTACCTTTTAATTTACCATCTGTAAGATCCATAAAGGTAGCAAGTATTGTCTGTTTTATTCATTGATGTATCCCAAGTATCTTAACATATAGTAGCTAGTCAATATCTATCAAATGAAAACATGAAATAATGTGTATACAGAGCTTAGTGTAGTAACTAGCACAAAGCATTTGATAAATGATCCAATCATTAATGGTCTTGATAAATGGTTAATATTCATTTCACCATGAACAAGTAGAAATGGAAGAGGTAGGAATGTTTCAAAGAGAAGATGAAGGGGACTAATGACCATGCTGTTACCAAATATCTGCAAGACTACCACAAATTACTTTCAAAAACAAGAATATGAGCCAAGAGGTGGAAACTACAGGGAGATATTTTTTTTCTAATCAGGAGTGAGAAAGATTTTCTAACAAAACTCTTCTAAGATGAAATGAACTGGTGCTCAAGTAAATGTTGAATTATTATTAGCCAATCAAATGAAGGAATTAAGAAATGTAATTAAAGGTTACGTCTACTATTACACAAATCAAAAGATGTGGAGAGAACTTCTTATAAATAGCATATACAAAATAAACTTTAAAATATATGAAATAGGGGATCCTGGCTGGTTTAGTCAGTAAAGCGTATGACTGTTGATCTTGGGGTTGTAAATTTGAAGCCCATGATGGGTATAGAGTTCACTTAAAATCTTAATTTATATATATATATATATATATATATATATATATATATATATATATCATTATAAAAATTATATATAAACATATATATATATAATATTGAATTTTGGCCTTGTGGTGCTGCTGGCAATAAAAATATAGATGGAAAGTAGTAAATATAGTGAATACCTACATATTTCCCTTATATACATGTAATCAAAAAACATTTACTTGTTATCAAACTCCAATAAAAAATATACAAAAAACCCCACATTTACCTGTTAACAAATCATATGGTTGAAAAACAAATGCAGCTGATTTGTCTTATTAATGTTGGCAATGCAGCAGGTAGGAGCTACAGAATCTCTTATACTCTACTGGAAAAACAGGACTGTTAAAAGCCGGCTTCTTTCTTTCCTATTCTTTTTATCCCAGTGCTAACACTGCACTTTGGAATTTAATACCAGAGCGGGAGTGCTCCTGGGTTGTATGAAACTAACTGGTGCCTCACTTTTTCTTTCTTTTTTTTTTCCACTCTTTCCAACTAGGGATGATTTTAGACAAAATGTATGACATCAGTGAAAAAGGAATCTCACTCAATATCATTTTTATGAAGGATAGTTGGCCTCATACTAAAATAGTCCCATCAATTTACTGCCATCAGGTCAGACAGAAAAGCATTAGGTACATAAAGTGGCTGTCATAAAATGTAGTCAGACAGGAGCCAAGTCTGATCACAGAAGGTCAGTTAGGCATTTAGAAAATAAAGGAAGCATGTTTTCTTTAACGAGCCATCAAAAGTTAATAACAAGTGAGTTAGCTTTCTATTTTGGACAGAAATATTGTGAAAGATGCAAGGGTTCTGAAGGTTTTCTCTATTTTTTTCAATTGGCTGCCTACCAGGACAAGATATGCAATAACAAAACTTTTCAAAGTTATAGAATAGTGAACTACATTCTCATGGTCAAACTATGGGGTCATTTTATGAATTGTGATGCTTAATATCATATGATGACTTACTGGACCATGGGGTGCCCAGATATTTGGCTAGACATTATTCTGAGTATGTCTATGAGGGTGCTTCTGGATGACATTAACATTTGCATCAATACACTAAGTAACGAAGATTGCTTTTCCTAAGGTGGGTGGGTCTCATCTAATCTGTTGAAGACCTGAGTAGGACAGAAAAGACTGAGTAAGAGAAAATTCTTCCTACATGAGTGCTTGAGCTGGGACATTGGTCTTTTCTGGCCTTCAGACTTGAACTTAAACATTGGCTCTTTCTAGGCCTCAAACCTGCCAGTGTTCAGATCAGAACTATACCATTGGCTCCTCTAGGTGTATCTCTTTCATCTCACTTTCTCTCTCTCTCTCTCTCTCTCTCTCTCTCTCTCTCTCTCTCTCTCTCTCTCCCTCCCTCCCTCCCTCCCTCCCTCTCTTTCCATACACACACACACACACACACACAAACATATCATTATATTGGTTTCTCTAGAAAACTCTAATATACTGATTCAACAGCATCAGGAGGGAATGAGCTGAGTTGTGCCAATCAAGTAGATTATCCAGATAATTAAAGTCAATCCCAGTAGAACTTAATGTTTTAGGAACTTGTCTGGTAACAGTGTAAAACTCAAAATTCTATGATTCTCTATTACAACACAAATTCATTTAGCCATTCTCAAAATCAATTTCACAAGCAACAGAAAAAAAGTCTGAAAAACATTTACCTCCCAAGGAAATTACAAAATGATCCAAGTATCTAAGAACCCATCTCATTTCCTTACAGTCACTTTTTTTTTAAGACTTAAGTACTCATCTTCATGTGTTGATTCCTGTTATCAGTAATCAGCACATAGCATATCCACTTCTTTTCTATGATTATCTCTAGGCTCTGGTGCTTTATGATATTTAAGTTCTACTTCTACCACACGCATTAAGTTTCCAAAACATCTGTCCTCATGCACCAGAAGATACCCTTGGTGTTGCCAAATTCCTGGCATTACCTTCATGTGAATTTTCTCATTGTCACTCACCTGCCCAGAAGCAGAAATTCGCCTGCTAGACCCAGGCGCCTCATGGCCATCAGCAGACCTCTCACTGTCATGCCCTCACAGAAGCAGGCCACCACCCGGGCCTTGGGCAAGTGACTCCTGAGCTTCTTCAGCAGCTTATCGAAGCTCTGTTCCCCTGCATTGCTGTAGATTTTGTAAGAGTGAGCGATGCAAATTCCTTCCTTGGCTGACATATCTTTGAAAGCTTCCATCCCACTCTCTCCATAGTTCCCTGTGTAAAAACAGATAAGCAGAGAGGTAGTGAGATGGCAGTGCTGGATACGCTGGGTCCAGTTAGAATGCAGAAGCACTGGGAACACGAAGGTGACTTGGTACTGTTGAACTTGGAGCCTGAAGACCTGAATGAGGTTTGGCTCTTTCAATGACTTGTTCATTTTGGGCAATTTACAATGAAACTACATTATACGTATGCATTGAACTCTAAATTTTGTTAGAGAGAGAGAGAGAGAGAACAGCATAAAAAGCAGAAGCAATTAAGCTCCCCTTTTGACTTAAAAAGTTCACACTCTAGTGTGAGATGATGAAAGATATTTGTCTGCTGTACTTTCATCTGTCTCATTTCCTTTTGGTTCTTATTGTATGACTCTTATTCCACTGGCTCAGATTCTTGTGTTTAAAGACACAATACATACACTTACATGGTATAGATGTTGTTGTGCAGATAGCATATAGAACATTATGATTTTATAGAATATTATGCATATTATATTCTATTAGCAATCATAAGATTTTGTGGCTTTATCCCAACCAAAAATTCCACATCCTTGCTTGAGATTTGAGTCTTGTCAGAGGTAAATGTATAAGCTTATGAAAAACATTTGAAGTTTCATTCTGTATAACCATAGGGAGGTTAGTGATTTGGGGGAATAATTCCAAAGCCCTGTGCAAATGTGAAGGGCTAAGGACTGATGGTGGTCCTTTAAATTGATGGAATGTGGTGATCAATAGTGACAATCAACTATTGTCAATGACAATTGACAATGCCAGGCAGTATACCAAAAACTTTATAGATGTGACCTCACTTAATTCTCACAAGAATATAGTGAGACATTATGACTTTCTTTCTGCAGATAAGAAAACAGATGAGGCAGTTAGGTTTACACTTGCCCAACGTTACATACCCAGTAGGTGGAATTTTGTATTACATTATCAGATCAAAGAGAGTGGATTCTGCTCCCTTCACTTGTCCATGGCTGACTTTTAGAAAACTTAGAAGCCCAATTATATCTACATTTCTTTTTCCAATTTAAAGGTCATGATACTTCAATTTTAGGTATTTTTAGAGCCTTAAAAGGCTCTAAATTATACTAGGCTCAGTGTTTTGAGTTTACAAAAGATTAGCTGGGTAAGGGGGAATGATTTACAGAATACAGGAGCCTATTACAAGACAAGCAAGTGGTAACCGGCTTCACAATCAACTAGACCTAGGAATAGAAATTTCATCAAGAGGAGAGATCCCAAATGAATAAGGAAGTACAAGGCATTCGATTGCCTTAGTTTCACTATATGACTATAATAGAGATCACTTAAAAATAAGTATACCTGTATAACATTTTGATTTTTGAAAAGTCAATTCATATAAATTAGCTCACAGCTCCTTACGCCAACTCTGAGACATGAAATATTTTCCACTCACAACTGATAAAACTGAAGTTCACTTTTAGTAAGTGGCATATAACTTATCACTGCTAATCCTGTGTATGTTCCACTATAGCACAGGTATCTTGCTGCATAACGAGATCCTTAGCCTTTGAGAGTTGATTTTTGTGTAATTTTATCTTTAAGAAAACGGTAATGGGCAAAGCAGAGCAGGATAGCTTAAGTTCTAGCCAAAGAAACTGGTTGGCCAGCTGCATCTTTCCTTTTTCTCCAGAAATAAAATAAGAAGAAGCCTCTATGGTGATGGCAAATGGGCAATGTAGTTATTTTGCAATTAACCAAGTTTAAAGGATCCTCTCTGAAAAATGTGCCTAGGGGCCTAAATTACTAGTTTTATACTAATCTGAGTAATCTATTATTCTCTGATTTATTTTTAGCCAACTCTATTTTTCAACAGACTGTCTTGTACTTAATGCTTTCATTAGTGCTGGGGTATTTGCATAAATAATTTGAGAGTAGGTACACAGTGAATGTTATGGCAATAATAATAGTTCTCAATATATTCACAGTTAAATAAGAAAAAATACCTGACAAATTCATAATCTTTAGCATCTCTCCCAACAACTTAAACTTATTTTCATTTATAGAGTAAATTATATGGAAGTAGCTTGTAATAGGGAATTTTGTTGTTAGATCTGAGTTCTAATTCAGCTTGGAAAGTCTCTCTAAATCTAGCTTTTTCACTTGAAAATCAGACATAACACTGCCTAATATGTATTTTGCATATCATATATGTTAAACATTATATCTAGTTTAACATTATAATAAATGATTATAATTATTATAATATATTTTATAATTAGTTACATGTAACTAACATTCTATATAACATGTAATAAACATATAATTATAATATACATTATAAAACAATACATATATTAACTATATAAAATATCTGATAGATAGGCTGTACCCAATTAATTGCACTTATTGGTATTATTGAATGTTTTAGGTATAGTTGAGCTGCTCTCTCCTGGACCATCTAAAATAAATAATGGAGCAAATGACATTAATACTGAATATTGGATTAAAGAATGAACTTAAACTAGTTGGGGAAAATTATTTTCTCAGAGCAAAACCCAGGTAGTACTCTTTAAAATTAAAATAGGAAATAGTTTTAATATATGTGTGACATAAAAGTTCTGCAGAATAATTTTGATTTAGTAAAAGCCATTATATGTTGGGAATTAAAAATGGGAGTATGTATTCCATATATTTCAATAAAAATTGGGAAGCCTGAAGTGTTTAGATTTTCAGTAGTTGATATAAAGACTGTATTCTGGAATTATTTAAAAATAAAGGAGAAGCTATTAAAAAGTTCCTAAGCTTCTCACAGGAAATGAAATAGATTTCAAGCAATGTATAGGATGAGAAAAAGCTGAGGAAAGAAAGATTTATTTTTTTCTGATAGGGAGACAAAAATGATAGAGAATGGAAGATATGGTGTAATATATGAAACTAACTTGCGGCTTTATTTTAAGCAACTGGTAAAACCAGGAAGGAATTCCACCAGACAATCTCTTTTAAATAGCAGAGGGCTGGTGATTTGGGATTATGAGAAGAAAATGTAATCAAGGCTTCACTGGACTCAGCTCACACTACTCTGCAATAATGCAAATGCCAATTACTGATTTTCAACTTTATGAATCCACTTAGGGACAAAGGAAAAAACTCATTATGCAACAGAAATAAATCTTATCAACCTTTACAAAAAAAATTAAAGGAAAAGATGATAAGTTGAGAGAAGTAGGGAGAGCTGGGGTGTTGAAATCCTTCATGCACAATTTGGAAGTCAAGATACATAAAAAACAAAAGAGAGATGAGTTATTTGAATCTAAAGAAAATAGGTGACAAATCTAAAATAGAATTATACTTAAGAGAAGATACATGAATTAGGAGATGTTTATTGTCTATAAATTAAAAAGTAGGCCTTAAAAAAGGCATATATTCCTAAGAAATAAAAACGGTCTCTGAAGTGTACATTTTACCCTTGAGCCCTCTGTAATATTAGATTTTTAAACATATGGAAGTACAAGTTTGAATTAAAAAATTTAATAACATACTTAAAAGTAATTGAAATTGGAAAGTAGATTTGGGCAATTTTAAATAGTTGCTTTAACTAGTGCTATTTGACCTATATCATCTCAGTGGAGATCTGGAAGTATCTGCATCCATCTGGGCCTACAACATACACATTGAAAACAAGACCGGCCAAAGAATAACTTTAAATACTTTAAATATTTCTCCTAACCTACGGGAGATCATTTATTTGAACTTTATGATTAAAGGCATTGAACAATCTTCTAGTATATAATATATAATCGAAGGTAATTGCTCTTTCAGATGGTACCAATTCAGTATCAGTAACAACCATGTTACTGTGGCATCAACGTACTTTCAGGTAAAGGTAATAAAGTATAGGAACATAGATAGGATACGTATATATATCTAGTAAATGAGAGGTTTTTCTAGTAAAATATACATTCAAAATATGGTTCAAATTTATGAATTTTGTGTGTGTTGGGGAAAACAATCATAAGAAGCAAAATTAAATTAATAGAATTATACTAAACAGACTCATATTTTTCTTTTCTTGACATTTGTTTCTTTTTTTTTTCTTTTTCTCTATGAGGCCATCATTATTCCTTCCATTGAAGCTTATGTGATCACGTATAAGCTCTTACCATCTCCTATCTTTCATTTATTCAAAACCTTACCAAACATTATGTTTGGGGGTCTTATTTCTTACTATGTTCTTCCATATGTCCCTTGGATGCTTCATGCATTCCCAGTTATTTACTTTTATTCATGATGCTCTTTCTACCTGGAATACCCTCTCCCCATGTCTTTTGTTGAAATCTTACCCATTCTTCTGTTCCAACTCAACTGCCCAGACTGTAAACTTATTTAGGATGTAGGCCACATCTCCATAGCACCACCAAGCAAATGGTTGTGAAACTAAACGGACCTACTCCACCATGCTTTTCAAGGATCTCCCTATAAGAAATAGTGTAATCTATTCATTTAATAGATATTTATGAATTAAGTACAGATATAATACTAGGCTTATTGTAGACTCTAGATATTTACATATTTTAGCTATTGACCTATTTTATAATGCTGAAGAGAGTAATTTTTTTTACTTGTAATTGTTAGAGAAGTTTATAATTGTGTTATGACAAGGCTGATCACACTAATGATTTTTTGATATTGAGAATTTTGTTAAAAATCTAACCTAAGATATTAACATTTTTTTTCCTTAGGAAAATATAGCCCACTTCATGTATGTGTTTTATTATGAGATTTCTTTTTTTTTAAGATTTTATTTATTTTTTCAGGAGAGACACACACAGAGAGACACAGAGAGAGAGGCAGAGACACAGGCAGAGGGAGAAGCTGGTTCCATGCTGGGAGCCTGATGCGGGACTGGATTCAGGGTCCCCAGGACCACACCCTGGGCTGAAGGTGGCACTAAACTGCTGAGCCACTTGGGCTGCCCTATTATGAGATTTCTAAGGAGGTTTCCTCCAGTCAGATAATGAGTTATGGTGC